CTGCCGACCTCTGGGACATTTGCGCCTCCCCAGGCGGCTCGGGTAGCCCACGTCCACACCCACGCCGCCCCCTGGCCTGTCCCAGGGAGTCACAGGCCTCCCCAAACACCCCTGCTGTTGACGGTGCTCTGAGTCCCTGCCGCCCGTGTCCATGTCACGCGGTGCCCCCTGCTGGGGGCCACAGTTTTCCTAATTTTGCTGAATACTGGGGCCACGTGATCTTATTAAAAGGTCAACATCCGAAGTCCTTCACGGACTCTAATGCACCTTAAGAAAGGGCCACCCCGCCCCAGACAGTCAGGCAGCGGGAGGCAGGCTGAGGCGGATGAAGCCACCGGCCATGGTGCTGCCAGTTAATCGGGCACGTGGTGTCCCCACGACCTCCCCCGGACACTGGAAAGCTGTCCATCTCGGCTTTATCGCTGAGCGTCCCTCGGTTGAGGCCCTTAGAGCTCTGAGAGCTTCGCCCTGGCCAGGACCAGGAAATGAAAACCCCATACATGTTTCAAAGCGTCCCAGGAAACAGTGTTTCCTTCTCGCCCACAATGACTCAGCGGTGCTAGTACCTGGGCTTGGTAGCTGCTCAGCAAATGCTTTGCGCAGAGTTTGACTTCTCGCATTGTTATTTATTAAGCTGCCAGTCCTCTGACCCATAGTAACACAAGGTAGAAGTCACAGTGCATAGCTCATTAGGACACAATCTTCGTGCATGAGAGCTATATCAACAGAGATCAAAGTATCTGTGGATTTTTTAGTTTTAGAAATCAGCTTTTCAAAAAAATCAGGAAATGTGGTACTTACAGGTTTGCTAAAGCAATTTTTTTATTATTTCCCCATCTCTGAGAGGTGGTGCCCCCCCCTGAGCCCGCTTAAACCTTCAGTAAATATATAAATAATGCACAATGCAGTCTCCAGTAAAAATGCTGCATTTCAGAGTCTATTTTATTGTTGATTAGGATATGTTGAAGCTGACTTATTACTTGTTTACTTTGTAAATTTTTTATTTAGAAATATTATTTATCTTTCAGCCTTGGAATCTTTAATATATGAGACTTTTTTCCACTTGACAACAAGCCAACAATAGCTTTGAAACAAAGTAATTACTCACAGGTGAACTTGCTTTGAAACATAATTTTTTTTTAAAGATTTTTATTGGGGAATTGGGGGGATGGGAACAGTGTTGGGGAATTGGGGGAAGGGGAACAGACAAGTTGCTGTCCTTTTGTTCTTCAGTCTAGTTGTGGAGGANCTGCTCGCTCAGCTCCGGCCGAGGAGACACGAAGGGGCAGGTGGTAAAGCTTGATTTTTCCATTTTCTGGGTGAAATTCATCCCGGAAACTTGTCCCGGGTCCCGGGGAGGCGGTCGTTGGAGCCGTGTGGCTGCGTCTCTGGGCACAGCTGACTGGCTGACACCTGTCAGGCTCTCCATGATCTGCTCGGAGCTCGGGTCACTTAACTGTCATCAGGTCTCCCAATGACCCGTCAGTGAGGGAAGCCTGCGGTTCGGAAAGCAGATTCATGAGGTAGAAATGATTGATTTTCCATCTTCGGCTCTGTCTAAGCAGCTGGAATTCTGAGATTGTTTCATAAGCAGGGAAAAGCATGCTGCTAGGTCTGGTGCACTTAGGGAGTGTATATGCCACTTTGATGAACGTTAAAGCCCTAGTATTATTCATCTTTGTACATAGATGTATGATGGGAAATAGACTTATTTATTCACAGTACTCATAATCTCACACGATTGGACGTCACTGTGAAATAGAACAGGTTGTTACTGAGCCATTCTGGTGACTGTAGCTGCCACATTATCAGGTTTGTTTTTGAATAACTGGGACACATGAGGCCTGCCCAGCGCTGTGGCCAGAGTGGCCATCTCCTTGGTGCAGGAAGCAACTCGGAATCTCCCGGATCCCAAAACGCAAGCTTCTGACACTCGGTTGTGGCTGTAGAGACGAGTGACAGGCAGCTGACAGGAGTCACTATAAGCCGTCCGCTGACCTCCCCTGATTGTCTGCGTCTCTGTTCTTCCCGACTTTAGGATGAGAGCGCTGGCCGTCCTGGGCGTCACACTGGTGGTGGCCTGCAGCCAAGTTTTCCTCCCTTTCTTCTTGAGAGGCAAGAAGCTCCTTTGGGGTAAGAAACAACTTCTAAAGTTGT